GCCCCCCCCCGTCCCCCAAGGCTTAGATTTAGAGTGTCGGCCTCTTTGTTCCATGAGAATCATGATAACAGTATCAACTAACCTTTGCACAGCACTTTCACATCACAAAGCGTCTCCTCTCTGTGACTTCACTGTGCTTCCCACACAGACGCTGAGAGGCAGGCGAGGTGTGTGTTACTGTCACTCGCGGCTGATGGCTGGGGAGAGGAGCTCGGGAAGGGAAATGACTTGCTCAGTGAGTCTATTCCACGAGGCGGCCCGCTGGCTCTCATTCAGCTTCTTGCTGCTGCAGGACGGCAGGCTGGGGGGGTTTGACACCAGGTGCCAGCTTCCTGGGTGGGAGGCAGGTCTGGAACTACAGACCCTGCTTGGGAGGAGGAAGCGGAAGCCGGAGGTGGGAGGAAGTGGCGGAATAGGCCGTCCCTCCCCTGCCCAAGGCCCCCTCCCCCAGTCCCTGGACGCGGCCAGGGGAAGGGCACTCGTGGACCTTTGGGGCTGCTGGATTCATTGATTTCTATAAAATGAATGTAATCATGCCAGCCTCACAGGGCATGGGACTGTAAATGAGACCAATTACCCAGCGCAATGCCCGTCTTACAACAGGGCTTCTCAGAGACAAGGTCCTTTTTTTACCTCCTCAACTTTTCCTTAGTATCTACTTTATGAAAGAAATAGGATTTGCCCCCAAATAATTCCCAAGCAACCAGGGGTCCCGCCGCGGACTCCGTGCACGCGCCGCAGGGCTAATCGTCTGCCTGAGGGTTTAATGGGAAAATAGGAACTCACAGAGGTGTGAATTCCTACTTTGTGTGCTCCTAGGGTGGGAAGGGTGGCCCAGGCAGAAGAGGGTTCCTGCGCCGCCGGGGGACGCCCCCGCAGCTCCAGTGGTTGGGGCTGTGCTCTTGTGACCAGAGCCCACTGGCCCTCGGCTCAAGGCTGTCTTCTGGCTCCTCCCCTCTGCTCTCTTGGGGCCTGCTCATCCCGAAAGTGTGAGTTGGCAGAACTCACCGTGGAGGGTGGACGCTACCTCTTGCCGTGGTTCTGGGGCAGGGGCTACCCTCAGAGACCCCTACCCTGGGAGCTGTCCTAGCGAAGGACTTCCTGTCATTCACACCGGCACAGGTGGTGTTTTCTTCCCGGATACCGCAGCGAAGGGAAGTCCTCACGGGGCAGAGCAGAAAGCTAGTGTTTGGGCACAAGGCAGTTTGCAGGCTTTAGTGCAGAATTTGGCCTCCTTCCCCAGGGTGGGGGAGAAGCTCATTGAGATGTGGGAAAGGGATGTAAGAAGGAACAGAGAGAAGATACCTAAGAAAAACGGCCTATTCAGAAAATGTGCTGGCGAAGTTGGAGGAACTTTTTTTCCCTTTTTCCCCATATTCAAGTTATTACTGGGTTTTATTCAGTTTACTTGGAGTTAAATCAACTTTCGGGGGCGGGTTTGAGTCACAGCTATCATGTATTAACAGTGTTTCAAGTTCCCAAGAACCAACTGACTTGGATTTTTAGAACCACTGTGGTATAGAAAAGTACATAAAATAATTATTCAGTATTAATAGTTACTTTGGGAAGGAGTATTCTTAGAGTAACTATTTCAATTATGTACAATACTTAATTGGAGCTAATTCCGGTGGAATAAATCTGTCTCTATTTTCTGTTTATTTTTTTGAAGAAAAAAAACTACGTAGACATAATAAGTCCATGCATGGAATGGAGTTTTAATTTTGGAGAATCTGTAATACTCACCAGCTAGTTCTGGACTGAGTGAGGGAGAAGACTGGCAAATTTGAGCTCTTGTTATTAAGTAAATTATTTTTTTCATTTATGTGGTTTATAATCTTTTAGGTGGATGCCCCCAGTAAAAGTAACTTAAAGTTTGTTTGTTTTTAAGACCTAACCTTTCTTTTTTAAAAAAATATTTTTTATTGATTTCAGAGAGGAAGAGAGAGGGAGAGAGAGATCATTGAGAGATGAGAGAGAATCATTGATCAATGAGAAAGAATCATTGATGGCTGCCTCCTGCGTGTCCCCCACTGGGGATGGAGCCTGCAACCTGGGCATGTGCCCTTGACAAATCGAACCTGGGACCCTTCAATCCACAGGCCAACACTCTATCCACTTAGCCATACCAGCTAAGGCAAAGTTTTTATTTTGCTTCTGAATAGTCTACTACAAAATATTTAAACAGATATGTGGGGTTTTCTATGATGACATTTAAAAGTTACACTTTAACAGCAGATTGGACCTCAGATAGAATTTGCAGTGGGTTCTCCCCAATCCCTCATCTCATTCCAGTTTCAGTTTCTGTGGGATACTGGAAGCCCACATGTGATTTGAGATCAGGGGTACCCTGCAGAGAAAACATTGATCTTCGTATTTTTGCTCTGAACTTGACAGATATAGGGTAGCCCTGCTGTAGATTTTGTGCTAGTATCTTCTGTAGGGCTGGTTTGCAGGTCAGACTAAACCTGGTGGTGACAGCGAGGGGAAGGTTGGGGCCACCTCCTTGTGAGGACCAGGTAGCTTTGCTCTGCTTCATGGCCACAAGACGCCTTCTGAATGCAGCTGCTGTCTCAGAGGTTCATGTTGTAGCCAGAAGGGTCCCAAACCAGAAGTGCTAACTACATGGCACCCATGGATCTATCACTGAGAAATTGCCGAACACTTAAGTATACCACAGGCATGTGCTAGATACAGGGAACACAGTTGTGGAAAGGATAATGCTGTCGTCCCGGCCCTTTTACTACATATACATAGATATAATTCCCTCACAATTATCTTTTAAAAAAGAGGGAATCATACTGTTTTGGAATATCTTATAAAGCAGGGATTCTCTTAGCTGCCCAAGAAAGAGCTGCTTAGGGAAGATACATTGGCTTAAGCACACTTTATTTTGTGCTACCTTTAGGTATGTATTATAGAGATCATCTGTCAGGAAAGAAGAGAAATTATCTTATTGAGAAGTTATTTTGAGGATAAGCAAGCATCCTCAAAGCATTAAAGATCACTTTAGAAAGCAGCACAGCAAGCAGTTACACTGTAGACATCGTGCATGCACACTTAGCAGGTGAATGGGGAAAAAGTACCATGTGCTGTAATGACTGTGCTAGAAGCTTGAGATAAAGTTTTTAGAATTCAATCATGGCCCTGCAGACAGCAGACAATAAAGAAGATCAGCTATATGACAATAGACTTAGTTGATGCGAAAGATGCTGATACTGTTAAGACATGTAAAGAACAGCACGAAGCAATAATTCCAAGTAAACATTATTGTAAGTGATCGGTGATTTAAAAATATCTGTAGTTAAATTCATACAACTATTATCAGCATACATTTGATTATATCAAATTTAGAAGTGTGAGTGGACACAAACTTTTTAAAAGCTTCTCATTGGAGAGTATACAGAATTGACTTAATTTTGGGGCAGGCTTGCATTTGCAGATACTGGGTATATGGTAGAGGAGACCTGACTAAATAATAACGGGGCAATTATAGCAAAAAGTGTTAAGCTGCATCCGTAGAGGAAGAGAAGAGAATGGGCACCAAATAGCCTGAGAAGTCAGGGCTGGAGGAAGTGACAGCTGAACTAAACCTGAAGGGCAAACAGCAATTAGCTAGGTCAGTGGTCGGCAAACTCATTAGTCAAATATCAACAGTACAACGATTGAACTTTCTTTTGAGAGCCAAATTTTTTAAGCTTAAACTATATAGGTAGGTACATTGTTATTAACTTAATTAGGGTACTCCTAAGGCTTAGGAAGAGCCACACTCAAGGGGCCAAAGAGCTGCATGTGGCTCGCAGTTTGCCGACCACGGAGCTAGGTGGGTTTAGGGAGGAAGTGTTAGAGCTCATGTGGTGATTCCAGGGCAAGCCAGGCTCTGGCCCTTTCAGAAAACTGCAGATACTGCAGTGTAGTACAGGGGGAGACTGCAAGGGAAGGAGGCAGCTGGGGCACAGAGGTGATGGGGGAGGTCAGTAGGGGCACCTCAAGGAGGACCTAGCACAGTACCTTGCTAAATTTGGATGTCATGATAAGAACCCTGCAGGGACTTTCAGGGGGGTGGGTTGTAAGCAGGGGAGTGAGGTTTTGTACTGATTGTGAGCTAACCCATCTCTGTTGTGGTGTAAAGAAGGGATGCTAGAGCCCCATTGCCCTGTGGAAATGGCTGAAGGGGGGCGAGGGTTGGGCATCCTCTGACCCTGCACTCAGCACACTTGTTACTCTCACCTTGTTGTAGGTGTGGGCACTGCCAGCGGCTGCAGCCTACTTGGAACGAACTGGGAGACAAGTACAACAGCATGGAAGATGCCAAAATCTACGTGGCTAAAGTGGACTGCACGGCCAGCTCAGACGTGTGCTCCGAGCAGGGGGTGCGAGGATACCCCACGTAAGTGGGAAGGGCACATGCTTCCTGTATCTTCCAGGTTTTCCACTCTTTTTGGCCAGCTGCCTTTGGCCAAAGAAAGCCCAAGTTACATTTTTGGTACCTTCCTGTGTAGTTCTGAGGTGTGAGGGGCTGCTGAATTTAAGCAGGCAGTCCCTGTTGTTAGGAAAGATGATATTTAACACCAGGTCTATATTAGGTGTCTTTTTGTACCTTCTATGGAAAAAGCCTTTGATTAATCAGTGTTGGCTTTTCCTGTTTATAGGAACATGTGTTTTCAAGATAAAAGTGGTGGTCTCTATGAGGTCCTGTTATGTTTGATGTTCACGAGGACATTACACAATTGAGTATAAATTTTGTCATCAATTTAGTATTGATTTTTGATCACTCTGTTATTCCTAAGCATCTTCCTAGAGTATTTCCCATGTTACTAGCACAAGGCTATTTCTTTTGGACAGAAAGGTAACAAAGTGGGATACAGTGGTTCTGACAAGGAACATGACTTCCTCTCTTGACATTTAAAAGAGTTTTTTGGTTTTAAGAAATTGAAACTGGCTTAATAAACAAAGAAGGGGATTCATTAGTAGGGTGTGAGGGAAGCTCTGAGACTCAGCTCCAAAGATTTGGGGGCCTGTTTTTGTGGGTCTCCCTTAAGATGTCTTTACCTTCTGGCTGTGTGTCTCTGCTGCCAGGTGGACTTGGCCCACCACTCATTGGCCCAGCTTAAACGGGTGTTCATTCCGGGTACAGTCTTGTGGCCAGAGAGGCAGGATCTCACAGGAAAAGAGCAGCCCCATTCAGACCACATGGCAGTGGAGAGCCCTTCTCCAAAAAAGGGAAGGTGCTGTTTCCAGGATGACGGCGGGGGATTGGCTGTTGCAGCCCAGAAATGCTTGTTCACATTGATGGGTTAAGGAAAGTCTGTCTAAAACCTGAGTTTATCTCCAAACCTGAGAGTCAGGATGGAAACGCGGAAGGAACTCTGGGCTGGAACCTAGAAGCCAGGGTTGAATCCCAGCTCCACCATCTAGTTATCATGTAACTCTGGCCGCACTGGTTAACTTCTGAGTCTAAAGTAGGGCACTGAGACTCACCCCACCCCCTGAACATTGTTATGAAATAGCATGTGTGCAAACACCATTCTGAGCATACCCAGCAAATGTTAGGTTTCCCCTAACATTTGGAAATTCGGCATTTCCACATAGGACTCTGGAATTCTTGGTCTTTGGTGAATGTTCGCTAATCTAAGTGCCATAGTTCAAGTCTGCATCAAGTCAGGTCAAATAGAGATAAAACTTCCCACCATGTGTACCTACCTAAAGGCACCAGTGTCCTGTGGTCATCACATTGCCTTTAACGTAAACTCTGCTGGGATGGAGTGTCCCAAAGAAGCGGTCACTGAGTCATGGGAGCAGGATGCTCACCTATTGAGAGCCTGTGACTGCAAAGTGCAGGGGCCGCAGAGATGGTTGACTGTGGTGGCCACTCTTAAACAGCTGGCCATCTGTGGCCATGTGGTTGTTTGCACCACCAACCATGCCACAGGGAAGGTGAAACAACAGGAGCTGTCACAGGGCTGAGAGGGCGCACAGTAGGGGCAGCAGAGAGGGGAGTAGAGGTTCCACCTGGACTTGACTATATGAGCTATCTGTCTGGAACGCTCTTCACAGATTTTAAAAGATCCATGTTGGATCATGTGTCCAACATTATTAAGAATATAAGGTCTCCCAGATAAAACCATGCACTGGTTTTGTGTTGAAAAAAAGGTAGAGTGAGCTTACACTATGCCGGTTGTGATTTGGGAAGGACCTTTCATGCCCATCACACATAGGTGCCTGGGGAGAGATTTGTTTCATTGAAGGTAGGAGGCAGATGTGTTGCATAAAATGTAGTCGTAGGAGGGCATTCATAGGTTACCTGTTGAGCTTTTACTTCCTCTAAAATGGTCCTCATCTCATAGAGATGTTGCAGGGCCTGAATCGGATAGCGGATATCAACGCCTGAGCGTGGGGTGTGTGTGTTGGTACCTCTGCTTTTGTGTCATTCTTCCTGGCCCCTGTGACTGGAGGCGAGGATGGGAGAGGGAGGCATTGAGTTCCCGTGCCCCTGCAGGTGGCTGACTGTGCCCAGGAAAGTGTTGAGGTCCTCCTGTGGAGCCAGAAAATAACCTTCATCATCTGGGAGAACGTGAGCAGGGCCAGGGCTGAAAGAGGCTCCTAGGGCTGCCGTAACAGAGTGCCACAAACTGCTGGTTGAAAAGAACAGACATTTATTCTCAGTTCTGGAGGCCAGCAGCACAAAATCCAGGCATCAGCAGGGCCATGCTCCCTCAGAACCTGTCAGGAAAGCCTACTTGCCTCTTCCCTGCTTCTGGGGGTTTGCTAACAATCTTTGGTGTTCCTTGGCATGTAGACGTATCCCTCCAGTCCTCCATCTTCACGTGGCCTTCTCTCTCTGTGTCCACATTTCTCCTTTCATAAGCACACAGTCATAGTAAATGAGAGCTCACCATATTAGCCTCAGTTTAACTTACCTCCGTACAAATCCCCTTTCTACATAAGGCCACATTCACAGGTACTGTGGTTAGGACTGCAACAGATCTGATCTGGGAGACACAGTTCAGTCCATAGCACTATCTCATTGCTTGTAGCAGAACTTTCGTCACATTGTTTTCACAGTGACCCATAAATTTGCTCCCCGACAGTCTCCTTGAAAAAGAAATAGATCACCAAAACTCCCAAATACCCATTCGGAGGTCGGTGGTAGCAGAACAGTTTGGTCTTGTACCCTGCGCTCTCTCTCCCTCCACAGTGAGAATTGAAGTCAGACTGAAAAGTCTGGGGAGGAAGCTCTAATATTATTCCTAGGCTCTATGGACTTTAGGAAGAATCTCAGACTTGGGCAGGCAGAGAAGTTTTCAGTCCATCAAGAAGAGATTTTTAAAAAGTGCTTATTTTGTTTTTGCTCAAAGCACACCACGTTGGGAAAATATCACAGGTTGGGTTTTACTGATTTTTAAAATTAGCAAAGAAATGGGGAATGAGTTTGACAATGCCTGGTCCTTTCTGATATTTGAGGATCCTGAAGCTCTTTGGAGAGAGATGCTTGGAAGGGAGAAGGGAGGTGGAGAGGACAGTAGCATCTTCTAGTTCTCTGGGCCAAGCACATGTTTCCAGAGCTTTATATGGTTCCAGGGGTGGGTCTGGGCATTCTTTTCTTCTTCTTTTTAAAAATTATTGTTTAAGTATTACATATAGTATTACATATGTCTCCCTTTTTCCCCTTTGGCCACCCCCCAGCACATTCCCTCACCCCCCTAGTATCTGTGTCCATTGGTTATGTTTATATGCATGCATACATGTCCTTTGATTGATCTCTTACCCCCATCCCTCCCCTGTCTTACCTCTGAAGATTGACAGTCTGTTCAATGCTTCTCTGTCTCTGGATGTATTTTTGTTCATCAGTTTATGTTGTTCATTATATTTCACAAATGAGTGAGATCGTGTGATATTTTTCTTTCTCCGACTGGCTTATTTCGCTTAGCGTAATGTTCTCCAGGTCCATCCATGCTGTTGCAAATGGTAAGAGTTCTTTCTTTTCTTTTTTTAAAAAAATATATTTTTTTATTGATTTCGGAGAGGAAGAGAGAGATAGAAACATCAATGATGAGAGAGAAGCATTGATCGGCTGCCTTCTGCACACATGTGCCCTTGGCCGGAATTGAACCTGGATCCTTCAATCTGCAGGCCAATACTCTATCAACGGAGCCAAACCGGCTAGGGCTGAGTTCTTTCTTTTTTACAGCAGCGTATTCTTTTTTTTAAAATATATTTTATTGATTTTTTACAGAGAGGAAGGGAGAGAGATAGGGAGTTAGAAATATTGATGAGAGAGAAACATCGATTAGCTGCCTCCTGCACATCTCCTACTGGGGGTGTGCCCGCAACCAAGGTACATGCCCTTGACTGGAATCGAACCCGGGACCTTTCAGTCCGCAGGCTGACGCTCTATCTACTGAGCCAAACTGGTTTCGGCCAGCAGGGTATTCTTAATTGTGAAATCATACTTTGGAGTTGCTTACATTGCTAAACTTCAGGAAGTCACAGGCATACTGGCCAAATCTGGTTAGATTTCGGCTTTTTGTTATGGTTGTAAAAGTGTAAGCTGCTGAGGAAGTGGCATGAATATTCTTTGTTGGAGGCACGTTAGGAAAGTCACCTAAGCCCATCGCAGGCTCTTAGCTTCTGGGTGAGGCCATTAAGCCTGTTTTAATGTAAAGATTTACTGCAGCCAATGACTTCATTTTAAGTCATTTGGGGAGGTAGCTAGTCAAACCCACAGTTCTGATCGCTGCACATCTTACATTTTGACACTGCATTTTGGGCATCTGCTAACGAACTCCAGGTGCATGCTGTAGAATGTAAGGGGTGTTTCAGATGAGCAGGCTTGCCAAAAAAGGCCTGTCTGTGTATTTATCTGTCAGTAGCCACATTTCCCCCTCCGTCCTTGATACTTTCTACTAATTCTGTCAATAGAAGAATTAATCCCGCCCCCTCCTTCCTTGACACCTTCTACCAAGTGTTATCACGAGCATGTTTTCCCATGACCGGTGGCATGATACAGGGCCTGGAAGCATTTACTTGAGCCTCTGGCGATGTCTTTTGCTCACCTCTGAAGGAATGCTCCATACTCTGTCTGCAGACCTCTTCAGAGGCTAATATGTGTAGAAAAAAGAAAAGATTCCTTCTCTGTGGGGAAATGAGTAACCACCGGCCATTGTCAAGGTTGTTCTTACACCTGGATGCTCATGCTTTGTAAGTCAAGGAGCTGTCACGGCAGCCTGGGGATACAGTGCTGTTTCTACTACAGTTCTCATTTTAAAAAATATGAAAAAGCAGGACATACAACTACTAACGCTGGGAAGGATGGCAAACCCCTGGCAGGGAAAGTTTGAGAGCTCTGCACAAGTGAACACCTGCAGCCTGGGGTTTAAGTCACAGCTTTGGGCTTGATGTGTCCACCTCAGCTTTATTTTTCTTGAATAAAATATAAAACTTTAAAAACTATAGGATTAAATTAATATATCATCTCCTAGATTGTTTTTTTTTTCTTTGCAAGTTTCGTCAGAGAGTGGCAGATACTGCCTGGCTGCAGCCCACTGATCACTCACTTCCTGGCTGCCTCCCTAAACCAGCTTGCTCCTTGATATGACGGTGTTCTTTGCTCAGAGCAGTTTGGAGTGCTTTAAAAATCTGCTGTAATCCTGTGTTCCCCTTTCAGCTTGAAGCTGTTCAAGCCTGGCCAGGAAGCTGTGAAATACCAAGGTCCCCGGGACTTCCAGGCACTGGAAAACTGGATGCTGCAGACACTGAACGAGGAGCCTGCTGTAAGTGCACAGAGGGCTCCCTCCCTCTCTTTCTTTCTACATTTTGGGGTAATAAAGAGGCTGGTTTAGGTGAAAAGTTAAGGATACTATTTTGAGACTACTTTTTACTTTTTTAGGACTCATTGATATAAGATTAACTTTTTTTCCTTCTCAAATTTTTTTATTGTGTTAAAAAACACAACACAAAATGTACTGTCTTCACTGTTTTAAGTGTACAGTTTAATGGCATTAAATACATTCATCATGTTGTGCAAAAGTCACCACCATCCTTCTCCAAAACTGTCTTCATCTCTAAGACGGAAACTCTGTACAATTAAACACTTAACTCCCCAACCCCCTTCCCCCAGCTCCTGGCAACCACCACTCTACTTTTTGTCTCTATGTTTTTAACTCTACGTACCTTATGTAAGTGGAAAAGATTAACTTTTAACAAACTTTTTATTATCGAAATATTCAAACATGTACAAAAGTAGAAAGAAGAGTCTAGTGCCAAGAGTCTAGTCCAACCCGTGTGCCGCAAGAATTTTTAAAGCATGCAATAGCTGACTCTCGCTGTAGTTAGCTATGTGTGCCATGAGATGAAAAAGGTTGAAAATGGCTGGTCTAGTGAATGATGTCTGAGTGATGAGGAGTGTAACGAAGATGGCCCCCTGTGCCCATCCCTAGCTTCAACAAGTATCCCAGAGTGTGAATCCTTCCTTTTCTTCTCAACCTCAGTCCATAAGATGTTACTGGCTTTGCTGATATTGTAACTTAATACTCTTAAAACTTTTAGTGTCTTAATTTCCTCCATACACTAAGGGTAATATCAGGAAGTTGTGGAAACTGGATGATTTCTGAGATATTATTTAAAGACATTGCTGTGTGTAGAATGTTACTTACTAAAAAACATTTACAGTACTCTCCTCTTTGACATTGGGAGTCTTAATTTTTTTATGAGTCGTTGTGATTGTAAATCATTCTTTACGTGTCCCTTCGAGTGTGGTGCTGACTGCTCAGTCCTCAGAGGCTCGGGGACCTTGGTGGCCTGTGGTGTTGTATTGGTGAGGGACTGGAAAGGTGGCCAGTATTCCCATGCTGGATGTTTCTGACGAAAAATTTTAAGAGCAGCCGAAGTCTTTGAATGTGATTTCAATTTAAACACTTAACTTAGACTACCTTATTGTATCAGATAGGTTCACAGATTTAAAGATTGTTTGTGCTCATGTGCGATTCCAGTCTTTGAGGGGCTCAGCTGCCACTGCTGTCATTTTCCAGGGTGTCTGTGTGGTCCTTCATGATGTGTCCCTTCAAGTGCGGTGCAAACTGTCAGTCCCGAGAGGCTCAGGGGACTTTGGTGCCTCCTACGTGCACCTGTATCTCACATCTTATAGTCTATGAGTATATGGTGAAGAATGCTGGAATGCGGCATTGAATAAGTTGACCAGAGCTTGTCTAATTTAAGTAACATGGGAAACCACAAACCTCACAGAGAGTAATTTGCATCTCCATCTTGGCAAGAGAGCTGGGTGAGCCAGGTGCGACTTTCATGCAGCTTTTAGCTTCAGATTGTTTTCTTTTGTGAAAATGTTCTCTGCTGGGAGGAAGCTAATTTTAGAGAGGAGTTAATAGTTTCAAAAAGACTTGTAAAATAAACTTTTCACACAACATAACCCACAGTCTTCTACATTGACGTTATTTAAGAAACCTGCAGCCAGTATCAGAATGGCAGAGAGGCTCATCTATGGGCCAGTGAGCATCCCGTTCATGGGGGACAGCCATGGGCAGGCTGGGAGGGCCGTGCGCGGGGCCAGGGCCAGGGCCAGGCTCAGCGTAGATGTCCTGAGAAGCAGCGTCTTGTCTCAGCGTGGGAGGGCACGGTGCATGGAATCCACCCATCACCACCCTAGAATCACAGTTAACCCACTGGCCATATCTTAGTGCCTCAGAGCAATAGGGATTTCAGCCAACTGCTAGAAACAATGACTGTCCTTCCGGTAGAAGAGCTCATATATTCAAACTTTATATTGCAATCTGAAAACCTTTTCAGTTTGAACTTTGCTGTTTATTGTAAACAAGTTTTTTTAAAAGTTGTTATCTGTATTTATATCTATGTAACTTTGATATATACATTTTTATATTTAGACAGGATAAATTTAGATTTTTTCCCTGAGTGTATGGCAATATTAAAGAAACTCAAAGAGAAGAAAACCTACCATTTCTTACAGTCTGCCCCAATTTTTACATTTCCGTATTTACATCTGTATTAAACAGCTATAGTCATATAAACATAGTTCTTTTCATGAATGAACCTTTTATATAGTGATATTGTTTTTATACTGATCACATGTCATGACAATGGATATTTAGTTATTTATAATTTTCTGTCATCAGAAGTGCAGTAAGGAACATGTTTATAAAGGACATTTTTTTTCTACCTCTCAGGAATGTGTTTAGAATATATTCCCAGACATAAAATAGCAAGACAAGAAATAAATAAATAAATAAAAACAAGACCACTTTTATGGCTCTTGATCAATATTGGCAGATTGTTTTCTTAAGAATCTAGAGTGGGAAAAAGATGGCAGCTGGCAGGACGGAGGTGCGGGAGAGGGTGTGAGTGAGTGAGCGGGTGAAAGGGGAGTGTGTGTATATGTGTGTTGTGGGTGTGAGTGAGGGACAGTTAGATCCTGCAGGAGTATCTGGGGCTGGCAGACCAGGCTCTCCTGGATGGGGAGCCCCTGCCATCATTGCAGGCACTACCTGGGCTGCTGGGTTCGGGCATGGAGCCCACACCATATTGAAGGGGAGAGCGGCATCCTCTAGGAACTCATCATCACCATCACCCAGACTGGCCTTGGACACTGCTCAGGACCCTGCAGCCACACCAGCCAAAGTCCTGCTGCCTGGTCTGCATGCAGACTTGCAGACCTTAGGACGTCCACTTCCAAGGGTACATGGTTCCCACATCAGTAAGTGGGACTTCCCTGCCCTGGCTGCCAACCTCCAGACACTGCAGTCGTGCCGAACCAGCATGCATGGGGCCCACTCACTCCCTGCCCTGGCAGGCGGCTTCCCAGTGCTTCTGGGAGCTGCCCCTGGGCGCGCGTGCATCCAACTAAGGGTGCACGGCCCCTATAGCAAAAACTCGGACTTACCCTGTGCTGGCTGCCAACGTTTGGACACCACAGTCACACTGAACCAGCGCACGTGGGGCCCCCTGACTCCCCGTCCTGGGAGGTGACTTCCTGGTGTCTCTGGGAGCTGCTTGTGGGCACGCAGGCATCCAACCAAGGGCACACGGCCCCTGTAGCAAAAACTCGGACTTCCCCCTCCCCAGCTGCCAGCCCACAGACACCACAGTTCTGCTGCACAAGTGCGCGGGCCCCCCTAGCCCGCCGCCTCAGCAGGCAGCTCCCGGTGCCTCTGTGAGCCACTGCAAGGCAAAAGCATACCCAACCAAGGGCTCAGGACTCCTGCAGCAGAAGCTGGATCTTGCACCTCCCCAGCTGCCAGCATCCGGTCTCCACGGTTGCACCGCTCCAGCACGTAGGCCCCCTGAGCCCACTGCCCCAGTGGACAGCTCCTGGGTGACTCTTTAAGCCACTGCTGGGCATGCGCATACCCAACCAAGGGTGCACTGCTCACGAATCAGAAACTGGGACTTCCCCCTCCCCGGCATCTGGACACCATAATACGCCACAATCGCGCCGCTCCAGCGTGTGGGCTCCAGGAGCACACAGCCCCGCAGACAGTTCCTGGGCCCCTCTGAGAGCTGCCACTGGGCATGTGCCTCCCCAACCAAGGGCCCATGGCCTCCTCTGTAGGATCCATGACTTCCCCCGCCCGCCTGCCTGCTCTAGACACGATGAGTTACTGAGGACTTGCCTCCCCGGACAAGGTCACACGGCTTCAACCACAGACACTGAGACTCCCACATCTCCAGCTGCTGTCTCCTGGACCCCCTCGCGATTCTCAGAGGGAAATCACTTGGGCCAGAGTCCCACTGCCTCAACTGCAGACTATGGGACAACTGCTCCCCATGGTAACAGGCTCTGGGTCCTCATAGTGAATTGCAAAGTGATGCTACCTCAACAAGAGTCACACAACACTGGCCAAAGTTACAGTACCTGAGCCTCAGGCCCCAAGACACCTTCTTCCCAGGCCATGAACTCCAGGAAAGCCCAGTGAACATATACCAGTGAGACCTCAGACAGCCCTTTCCATAAGAGCCAGAACCACTATCACATCCATAACAGCTTGCACAACGAAACCGGGGGTGAGTCACATTGCCAGACAATCCGTGGCATGACTTCACCCACGAATGAGAAATCAACGTTCAAAACCCAACTACATCAGAAGAACCTAAATAGCACAAGAAGGGGGCTCCACTAGATCACCAAGCCCAGGGGATCAGAGAGACTGCACCACTGGGTCCCATAAATCACCAACTACTTAGGACCACCCCCAAAAGAATCTGGATAGCAAAACAGTTGGATCTAAGACATGTAATTAAAACAATACAGCAAAAAATGGGGAGACAAAAAAAACCCCAATACCCAAAGGAAAGAAAAAGGAGAATCATCAGAAAAAGAATGAAATGAAATGGAGGCAAGTAACTGGACAGAGAAAGAATTCAGAGTAATGGTTATAAGGATGCTTAAACGTCTGGAAGATAAATACACACAATTCTATGAGAATTATAAGGAGCTGAATGATTATGTCACCAACATGAAAATGAATCAAGAGGAGATGAAGAATGACATAGCTGCAATAAAGAACACAATGGAAGGTGGAAGGCTTCAACAAAGAGTAGTAGAAGCTGAGGACCACATAAGTGAGCTACAAGACAAGGTAGAAGAGACCACACAAACACAGCAACAACTGGAAAGAAAATTTTAAAAGCAGGAGGAGAGCCTAAGAGAGCTTTGGGACAACACGAGATGAAACAACATCCACATAATAGGGGTACCAGAAGGAGAGGAAGCAGAACAAGGAATAGAAAACCTGTTTGAAGAAAT